TAATTTATGACTTTTAAAAAGAAAGAAGACTAAATCAATTTTAAAATTTTAAAATTGTGTATCACAAATTATGAGAAGCAATTCACATCTCCCATAAATCTTCTCTCTTGCACTTATTGGATTCTTCTCTCTTGCACATATTGGATTTGAGTCAAATTAGAGTTGATATTCATCAAGTGTTGTAACTGTTAGTGATGGAGCAATTGTGAAGAATTCAATTGATAAATTTTTTCATTGTAAGTTTATGCTTTTTTATTATTAGTAAAGTAATATTTTTAGCCTCTCACATCCAAAAGAGAAAATAAGGAACAACAACAACAACCATTATACAATGACAGAATCTACGGAACAGTCCGGATACAATAATCAAATGGGAAAAGACCGGGGTCGTTATATAGGACCTCCCATTTTATTTTGGAGCATCTGGATGGAGCTTAATAGAAGAAGTTTTGATGGTGTTAAGAGTCTTAAGGCTTTAATTTTTGCTTTAAAGAGTAGAATTCTAACCATCTTTTACAATTGGATCTTGAGGGGTGTTGAGCCTTCATTGAATCCTTTTTTGAATTTGTTAACAATTTTGAATATATTGATGGATAGGAGTTGTTTTTTATTGGGATATATTTACATATACATGTATAACACAAACCCGATTATACATTTTAAGATTTTGTGAAACTAATTGTAATACATTGGTTTATTCTCCGTTCCTTATTTTTAGAGCTTCCACAATTGAGAAGTGTGACGTCCATGGAGCTGGGTTGTGATGCCCGTGGCTATTCTCGCGCTAGAAATGAAACGGCAATTTGGTACTGTGTTATTCTAGCAGGAAGATCAAGCCCAGAACTCAACAAAATGTGTGCAGTGAGTTTGTTTGCCTTGCTTGTTATGTTAAATTAAATCCCCACTTGGTAGTTATTTCCTAGAAATGATTTGGCTACTTCGTTGGGAAATCATTGTCTGGTGATGCCAGCTAATTTTTCTAAACTTTGAAGACAATTCTTCATAAATCAAAATAGACAACTACCTAATAAAGAATAGCAAAGGTAACTTAAGGAAAATAGTAGAGAAAGCGGTTAGAAAGAAAACACAGAATGTGAAAGAACTTTATTTGTTGAATCCTGGCAAAGATCCTGATGTTCATTTGAAGTTATGACGCAGAAAGTGTACTCATTCAAAATTTCACATTGAATATAACAGAAAGATTCATGTATGGTCCAAATGCTAGTACATTCTTCTAGTTTACTAAATGGAGTATATTACTATGATAAAGACTCTGCGCAGGATCCAAGAAGCACTGTCCACAGTTGATAACGATCAACCGTCGTCGCTAGCGGCTGTTGCACTGAAGGAAAAGTGGTTGACATTTACCTGGCTTGATGGGGAAGCCCAACAAGTGAGTGTCATCTTTTGTTTGTCTGGCATGTCAATATTTTCCAAGTATAGTTGTAGTTGAATTCACATTTGTAGTAGTGAATGGACTAATGAATTTGAGGGTCATGTTTGTGATACTGTATGTATGCTACTTGGTAGCAATTTATTCTGAAATTTAATCTCTTTGTCGAACTTAGTTGGGATCACTATTGGCATTGGAAGATTTTTGCCAAAGTGCCAGTATCTTAATCCAAATGGTGGCCTAAGGTGGAAAAGGTGGTCAGTGATTATTGCTGTTATAAATTCTGATAGTGTTGTACTACCATAAAATGATGTGAAATTATTTACATTGCAAATCATTCAATCTAATAGCAGGATAAATTCTGAAACATTAAATGCTAAAACCACATGTGACCTTTGGCCTAAAAATGCAGGGTATCGAAAAACATCGTCACAACTTCCTTATGCGCTATATTCTCGTGCTGTAAGCAGCTGAGAATTTCTACTTGAACCTTTTAGAAATGTCCAAGAATCTGATTGCATTCATAAACCTTTTGACATCTGAATATGGTTTTTTGAGAAGATTATAGAGGCCTATCACTGATTTGGAATTTTAAGATATAATTGTCATTTTTATGGCTCTTCTTTTCCTTTCATTAAAGAAAATAAAATTTCTAGTACTTTTAATAATCTTTCAAAATATGTGTTATTAATCTTAGAAAGTTATTGTATGATTTGAGCCACAAATCGTACAACATGTCATGTTTATAAAAATATATTGTGTATTTAAAATATGTATTGAGGCTAGCTTCGAGGCGAGGCTAAGGTTAAATGCATTGATTTTTTTTATTATTTTTGGGCGAAACTCTCCAAAGACTTGCACATCACAGTTTGAGGCGTGCAACACATGTGCTCCTTGTACTCTTTTTGCACATAAATATGAGGAGTTGTGTTACATGGATTCTTCTATTTCCCCCACGGTACCCATGTCCACTGGATATGACATTGGTAAAGGTGTGAGATGTGTCCGACACTTGTATCCAATTTAGGCACTCAGATGCTTTAATTTGTGACAATACATGAAGAAGAAGAAACTCATATTTATTAGTAAAGTAATATTTTTAGCCTCTCACATGAATTAGATATAGAAATTTCATATTTTTCCTATATCTTATTTAATTTCTAGTATATTTCTACACAATTTACCACATCTCATCTGAGAATATTATATAAAATATAATATATATATATATATATATATGTGCATATCACGTGTCCCAATGCCCATATCTAATTTTGGATACGTATCCCAAGATTTAAATTTATCAAGGTCTGATGCTTGGATACACACCTGCACCCGATACTCGTACCTCAATCCCATGTAACAATATCTATATGGAGAGCTTATCTTGGGTTGTTGTTAAGCTTATTATAATACCTAGTTTTTTTTTTTTTTGGTTGATTTTCTAATACCTAGTTTATATTTAAACATAAAAAATAAGAACCTCTTCTATAACCATCATTTCCATGGAAAAAATCCAGAAAAATATAAAGCAAAGACTCAAGTAAGCAGTTCAATAGAAGAAACTAAGAATGTCAAGTTCATCTTCGATGAGGGCAAGTCTCCTGTTCTGTAATGTAATGTTCAACGCCTTGAGGAGAAAAATATTTATACATTTATATTTAATTTTGAATAAAATTAAAATTAATGTGTACTAATTGGGCATTGTTTTTTTATTTAGTTTTAAATAACTTTTTCTCACTAAATAAAAAATTTTGAAATTTGAAATGAATGTGTTGATGCCTTGAGACTTGCGCATTCACATTTAAAGGCTTTGGTATATACATATTTAGCCATGGCTTGGCTAGTGCAAAGCATGTACACCTGAATTGTTTGGTGTAGTAGATTATGTTCTTCGTGTGAGACATGGCCAATTAAAAGTATTCGTCATTAACCGTTATCCTATATGAGTTCAAAACCAACTTTTGGAACTCAAAATTGTTGTGTTTTCTGTCTTTAGCGATTTTTTTTCTTCATATTTTAGTTTTTATTTTTTATTTTTTTTAGATCTGCCTAATTAGCCGCTCTTAAAATTTAAAATATTTGAAAAAAAATTTGAAAAATGTTAAAAGACAATTTCATATTTTTTTTACAAATATTTTATTTTTTAAGTACATCTAGATTAGGTGCATCTAAAAAGTAAAAAATAAAATAAAATAAAATATGAAAAAAGTTCACTAAAGACCCCCCCTCCCCCTCAAATTTTTTTTTTTTAGAATTTTTTTTTTATTTTTTTTTTAGGAAAACAAAAGACTCAAAAGCTATTCATAAATTAAACCAAAGAAGGTGAAAGTTTTTCATTATGCTTCTTGGTCATTTTAAAATCTTTGGAGGTTATCTTTGACAAAAAAATTGTACTTTTGTTGGTTGATTCTATTCTATGGATCGAGCTATATGTACAGGGAAATGTGGTTCATCTCAAAGAATGAAATACAAAGAACTGTAGGAAGTACATAGAATGAATTTCTGTGATCAAGCCATATGCACAAAGAATGTGATTCCTCTCCAGCTATACAAGTAATACTATTCTGTAGGTCAAGCTATGTAGTGTAGGAAATAGAATGTGATTCCTCTCACAGAAGGTGTTATATAATAAAAATAAACTAAAGTTCACCAGGTTGCATATATGAGGCATGTATTGCAATGGTGTAAATTATTCATAAACACCAATAGTAATTGTGTAAGGCGTCATTACAGCTGCATGGTACATATGATTAGAGGTTGTTTGCTTCTGCTTTATTCAATTGAAGGAATGATCTTTCCATCTCTTCACTGTTATTCCTAGAACCATTTGTAGGTCTTTTTTCTTTTTTATGTAGAACTATGTGTGCTTACTATTATGGATTATAATATTTTAATTAATAATGATCATGATGGACTAGTCTACGCTGGAACATTTAACAAATGATCTTTTGCAACTGTATTAGTCTCTAAATTTCTCTTTTTCTCCAGCGATATTGTTTTTTCCACACTCAAACAGAGAATAGCTATGAAACATGTGAACCTAGGAGGGATATAACAGATATACCACAGCTAATTATTGTATGTTACAAAAGGAATGCCACAGAAGATAGTATTAAAATTGTGGAAAAAAGGCCAAAAAACATGTTGGAGGCATTTCTGAATGACGATGTGGATCTTGCATCACAACTTGTTGCGAGGTACAATAGTTCTGAAGAAAGTTCAGAGGTGTGGCCTTTTATCTGTTGTGAGATGGATTTTACTACACGGTTTAATTATTGAGATATATTTCACTCTGTATTGAGCAATTAACGCAAATGCAAGATTCTTTGTGATTTAGTGTACCTTTTCACGTTGAGTTGTTTCTATTTATTTGGTTGGCAGATCATCAAGTGGATCTCTCAAACAATCGAAGATGGTGACTCTAGGGAGCTCCCCTTTTTTGTAAGTTAGCATAGACAAACTTTTTTAGAATTAAGCTTCCTTTTGGTGCTTGAATGGATGAATTTGTGTATTTTGCTGAGGGGTTTAATTACCTGCACTCCATTATTGATGCCTAAGAAGCACGAACATGTGACATGACATTGACACACCGACATGTAAATTTTCAAAAAATGTAGGACACGACACGTTGGGGACTTCTGCAAAATATATAATTTATTTATGTATTTATTAAATGTATGTCATATATAAGGATAAATAATTATTATGTCTTATATATAAATATTTAAGTAAAATATATTCATTTTTGAAGTATATTTCCATACTCATAACGGGTACTGGTACACGTACCGTTAGGGTTGCATGCGTATCAGGTACATGAAATACGTACGAGGTAGTTTTTATACATTTTTTGGCAGGTGGGTACTTCATAGGTACATGATGGGTACATTGGGGATACACCAAGCTATGAGACATTGATAATGATACATTTAATTTATTAGAGAGTTGTGATTTACTTGAAATTGCAAATCTTTTACTTGATGTGTCAAAGATGAAAGATGTATTATTCAATAATGAAGTTGATGGAAGTGAAAATTGATTTTTCAACTTTCCAAATTTTTCTAGTTTGCTTTTGGAATGAAACTTAGTTTTGTAATTTTTCTTATTTAATGGCATTAAAATAGCATATGGACTTTGCTTTGATATTAGTATTATTGAACTGTGATATCTCTTTTGCTTTTGTTATTTTCCTTTTAGTTTTGGTATTGAACTTTGATTTGTAGGTTGAATCTCAAACAATAAACTATGAAAAATAAAAAATTTGTTGACGTACCACAACTGTACCCGTATCTTTTTTTTTGGAAAGGTTTTTTCTTTTTTGTGGAAAGGTTTTTCCATATTAGCGTTATAGCGATCCTGGTATTCCCTGTTGTTGTTTAACTGTAATCCGGACTCGATCCCGTAGATTCGTTGTTGTCTTATCCTCATTTCTATCCCTTACTCTTTGTGTTAGAGTTTTGGGTTGTGTTGGGCAAGTTGGGAATATGTTGGCCGTGTTTTAAAACTTAGAATCTTTGCCCAGGTTTTTGTCTCTCCGCTCGAGCGGCGATTTGACGCTCGAGCGGAATTTTGTTGTTGCCTTTCCGCTCGAGCGGCAGTTTGGACGCTCGAGCGTGAATTTCCTTCTCTCAGCATTTTGGACGTCTGCAGAAAGTTCTGGGAGAGTGCATCCGGCGCTCGAGCGGATCTTTGGACGCTCGAGCATGAACCTATGTCTGACGCTTGAGCGGGGTGTTGTACGCTCGAGCGGACCTGTTTTTATATCAGTCCGTGAAATCACTTTTTTGATCACTTTTTGATCTCCTTTCTCTCTCTTACTTTTTTCAAAACCTCCATTGGAGAGCACCTCACTCTAAAACCTAACTTCTCTCTTATGATTGATCTGGCTAGAGTGTTTTCCTCACCTTGGGTCTTTGTAAGAAGTGTGTTGATTGTCGAGGGCTTCGTTGTGATCCAAGAAATTTGGGATTTGGAGCACTTTGATTTCGGGTCATCTTCTCTATTTGAGTTCTCCATTTGAGGTAGGGATTTTCCTTGTTCTTTTTCAATACTCCGTCTATAGATAGACATGTGGTAATTTTTGTATTGCATGAAAATTGTATCATGTTGGATTTGTTTGAAAATCATGAAATAAACCTAGGGTTGGTTGTGTGGAGAATGGTTTTGGCTTCATTGATTGTTGTTTTGGCTAATTAAAATATAAATTAGCAAGTTGTAGTTAAATGAAGAAAAGCCCTAAATTGTATTTTGGTTGGGTAAATTAACATAGGGGTTTGTTGACCATTGTGTGTAAATCTCTTTTGTCAAAAATGAGTGTGGTAAGGGTGTTAATGCCTAAGGGATCATCCATGGCTTTGGAGTTGATTTTATGGAAACAAGATTAGTGGAGTTGGTTTTGTGATAACAAAAAGGAAATGGATTTGTTTTTGTGAAAATGAGGGAAGTGTTTTCGAAATAAGTTTGAGAATTGGATTGTTGTATCTTGAGTGTTGAACACACATGTAGAAGTTGTATCTTTAACTATCATGTTAATATTGTTGTTGGGTTTGTGATTCATGATAATTGAGTCTTCAATAGATGTACTAACTATATGCATCTAGAGGTTTTATCCTTAGTCATCGGTGGAGGATGACACGGTTGTGTAGAATTATCGGTATGCATTTTACCATTGATTAATTGAACATCGTATGAAATGAAATGCTAGATACATTATATAAATGTATATTTGCTCGGAAGGAGATAGTCATGTGTTCATATACTTTAACACATTGCTGGTGTCTTGATAGTTTATGTATATGCATCAATAATGTGGTTATGCCTTGATGTGCTGTGATTGTTGTGTTATACCCCGCGCTTAGAATCAAAGGTACCGTTACCTTCCAGTTAGCGCTTGGAGAACTGACCGCGCTAATAATCGGAGGCACCATACCCTTCCAGCTAGCGCCTGGTAAACTGGCTTGTTGTTAATGTTGTTGAATGGGGTGTATTGTTGGCTTACTACGTACATGGCTAGTAGAGCGAAGTTGGTTGTAGTTATTTCAGTATATCTTGGCTTACTAAACACATAGCTAGTAGAGCAAAGTGGGATTGTTGTTGTTTCGTTGTAACTGAAAATATCCTATTGGTTACAGTTCGGAGGACCGAGTTACTCTATTGGTTGATTGTATACATGTTGGTGGGTTGTAAATTTAATTTTTACAAAGATACGCATGTATAGTTATGATAGTAATGGAAACGAACCGAAATTCTTTTTTTTGTCTTTTGGAAAGTGTGGAGGAGAACGAATGTTTTTAACGATAAACATGTTTGAAAAGGTACATCTGAGTATGTATAGGAAATGGAAGAGAGTATCGGGCTTAGTGAGATTACTTCCTAAGTATTTGTTAATGTTATGAAAGATTGGGAATGGGTTAATGAAAGGAAAAAGGAAAGACAAACCATTGTAGTGTTGAATGAAACGGTTGTTTTCGAGAAAAGTTCAAACATATATATTTTGTATAAACTGTCACATTACTATTCTAGTATGAGAATGGTGTTTATGATCATAGCTATCTGTAAGTTGTTATTGTTGAGGATCTTGTTGAGTTCCCTACTGGACTATATGTTCATCCCACGTTGTTGAATCTTTTTTAGGTATTAAGCAGGTTGAGCTGCAAGATTTGGATCTACTTGTTTACTGGCCACGGGGCCTCAGTTATGTTGGCGGAATGCCATTGTTGTTAAAGGGTTACACCCTTCTTCTTGTACCTTAAGTGATGTAAGCCCAAGGGCAATTTATTAAGTATGTTCATGTAATATTTACTTTGCATATGAATGAGAGTATCGTTAATCACTTCTACGGATTGAATATATGAGTTTATTTCCGCATGTTATCCTTGTAATTGAATTAAGTTAATGAATTTGGTAATGACTTCGAGTAATAAAAAGTGGGGCGTGACAAGCGTACTCGTAACAGTAGCCATACCTACACCCGTGCAACATAGGTATTCAATGAGTGTCGGGCACGGCACGTTACGTTTTTCGAAGTGTCCATGCTTCTTAGATTGATACTCATTGAACTTTGTGGTTTTTTTTAAGGATGTATACACTCCGGAGCTTAGAGTTGCATCTCTTTTATACAAGATGTTGCCTGCTAAAACCTTTTCTGTTTTGTCTCATCGCAGAGATCAAAAACTCCTGCACTTGTTCTCGAAGATGCAGATCCTATTTGGTCAATAGGTGCCAAAACCGTTCTACCCAAAGGGACAGGAATGAAATAGAGTACCAATCTCATTGAACAATTCACATTTTCCAGCTTTGCAATTTCTAGACTTGTCATTCTCATTGAAAAAGCAACACCCCACCCCACCCCACCCCACCCCAAACTCAGAGACACTAAAAAAAAAAAAAAATGGATTTTTCTGTCTCCCTCACCACGAATCATTCTTGTATGATTGTTCCTTCGTTGGGAATCTATTGCTTGCTAGTTGAACTTGCTTCCCTCACCACCAATCATTCCTGTATTATTGTGTTCCTTCATTGATATTCTCTAATAATTTTCTTTAACAGTTAAAAAAAACACCATACATAACAAAAGTTTGTACTTGATAGTGAGTGTGATGCTCTTTTTATCGCAATTTTTTTAGCAACCAATGCTAATTTTGCATTTTATCCCTCTAGTTTAAAATTTTCTATTTGATGTCAATAGACAGTGGAATTTCTTTCTAATCTACAGACAATGAAATATGGTTTTTCATTTTGTAGCACTTAATTTTGGATTTGTAATTTTTAATATGAAATTTCTCTATTCATAGATAATAAAAATTTCATTATTCGAAAAAATTTCTTCAATATTGCATATTCAATACGAACTCTTACTAAATGGATTTTGATGAGAATATTCCAAAAATTACTTTTAAAAAATTAAATTTTGAATCAAAAATTAGTATTTAAAAGTTTAAAAAATAAATTTAGCTATTTAGTAATTGGGTTGTGTTTGTTTCACGTGTTGTCCTCCTCACAATAAAACTTATGGGCTCTCTTGTTTTCTTATAAAAAAATCTTATTATAAGGGATCTATTATAAAAAAATTTGAGCTTTTATTATTCAAGTCTTGTATTTTTTTTTTTATGGATATGAACCAATAAAGGGGTGTGATTGGGTCAGTTTGGTTTGAGTTGATATTAAATTTAGAACATATTTAAATGAATCATGCACTTGAACCAAATAATTAAAATAAACAAGTCTTTAATATTTAAATTTAACACAGACATAAAATAAATATTGTTTAATACAAACCAACAGTTGTGAATAGAATAGTGAAGTCCAACTCAAGTTTAAATACAACCAAAATAAATCAAATCCAGTAACACAACTAATAAAAAAAAATTAAGTACTGTAAATTTCAACTCTACCTTCCAATATTTTCTTCTTCCACTTCCC